CTGGCCACTTCTGCCTAACCTGGCCAGCGCCGCGCGCAGCCAGCAGCTTATCAGCCATATCGCGCACAGCAGCATACGTGGGCGCAAATCCACGTAGATCTAGATCAAGTATATGATCAACTATCACCTCCTCTTCTAGCTTAGTGAGCTTCTTTGAGTTAGGCTGGCAATCGCGTCGAGCAGGTATACCAGCGCGTCGGTGGCGGATTGTTCGTTTAGACACGTTGTAGACAGCAGCAGCGCGACAATTACTTTGTGTTTAATAGAGATTAATAGAAGAAATAGCAAGCTGAATATCTGCTTTATTCAAAGCTAATTGAGTAGCGCTACGTTGAGCCATTGTTCGTTGAGATAGGAGAGGTGCGCAGGTTTGGTGGGGTGCGGCGCTCGCTTGCCTGCGGCGCTCGCTTGCCACATACGTTAGTAGTAATAGTAGTAGTAGAAGAAGATGTATGTATGTAAAGCAATTAATTAGGTATGATGTATGTATGTATGTATGTATGTATGTATGTATGTATATTTTTCCATGTGTCTGTGTGTACATGAGTGGAATAAACTTGCCGAAAAAAAAGTACTGTACATACAGTAGTCAAGTATAAACTACACCCCCCTACCATCTCTACATCTCCCCTTAACCCCCACCCCCCCCCCTCCAACCCAACTACCTATTCCCCGCATTCTCGGGAAACGCGTACTTTACAGGCTCACTCTGAATGTCATTATCCTCTCTCCACTGCCTGCGCTCGACATCGCTAACACCCGGACCCCTATACACACTTCCATACAAGCCACTGGCCCAGTCTTTGCCAGTGCCGTCTCTACTCTGCACAGTAGCTTTCCTGCGATACCACTTGCCGTACGCAAGGAGGTAGTAGAGTCTGAAGCTGAGGAGGGCGAATTTGTCGCGCTCGAGATCGGCAGGGTACGTGGCGCCGAGGTCGACGGCGGCGGCGATGCCGCTCATGACGGCGACTTCGTGGGCGTTGATGAGGGTCCAGGCGGCGGCGAAGCGCGTGTGGCGTCGGCCCTGGAGCGCCCACATCCACGGCACCACGAACAGGTAGTGGGTCCATGAGTGGCAGAGCTGGTGCCACCAGTCCTGGCGGATGATCTTGTCCTTGTTGATCTCGTCGATGCTCCAGAGGTGGCCGTCGCGCTCTTTGTTGAGGTAGATGGTTTGGAACACGTGCTGGTCAAAGGGTACGTCTGGCGGGAACTGCGATTGGTAGTTTGTGCAGTCGAAGCACATTTCGAGCTTGGAGCGGTCCTGCGGGTACATTTTGATGTAGTACATTGGTTTGAAGCGTTTTTCTGCCCATTGGTTGCGCGATGATTGGTCTGTGTTGCTGAGCTGCGAGACGGCTTGCTCTGGGCTGTAGAAGTTCTCGTAGTGCTTGCGCATGTAGTCTGCGTCCCAGTGGGTTACGGTGATGTCGTTTGAGAATTTTGCGGAGCCGAGCACGCGCTTCTCGCGGAGGGAGGCGGTTGGTTCGAGGATGCGTTTTGCAGTGTCGGCGCTGTAGTCGTGTTAGCAGAATCAAGTAAAGTCAAAAGTCACTTACAGCACGCAGAGAATCAGCTCATCATAATGCTCCTCTTTCTCCACCGCATCGGCATCAGCGTTGTGCTCGTCATCGTATGGCACATGCACACTGTTAGGGTTATGCGCATCAGGCTTAGGCGTGCGCTTGATCAGCTTCACAGTGACACCCGTCTTGTCTCGTTTGACCACTTGCGTGATTTCCGTCGACAACCGAACATTGACACCCCTCTTGAGCAAGTCCTGTCTCCAGCGTTCATAAAACTCGCTAAACTTGGGAAACACGACCATTGGCGGCAAGTTGCTAACAATACTGTGCTTGTCGGGCGGGTACCACATTCCGTACGTGGGGCTAGTGCACAGCCGCTCAAGAATGATGCTGGGTACATTGGGCGTCTCGTTTCCCGTACCCAGAAACAGCGCAATCATGGGCATGGCAACCGTGTTTGTAAACTCTTCAGAGAACCAAAACATCTTGAAGAGAATCTTGATTGGAATCAGGGCGAAGAAGAGCTCAAACCAGCGCACAATCTTGAGCATCCTGTTGAATCGCCGGATTTCCTTCTGGTGCTTTGCGAGGAGCTGCGTGGGAAAGACATTGGTCCAGAAGTTGTCGTCCTTGCCGAACGATACATGGAGATTGACTGGATCTGCGTGATGGCCCTGCCTCGCAAACATGGTCATGGTATGGTGGAAAATATAACTTCCACCTTGCACACCTTGGTTGAGCCATTCGGCGCCATGACGCTGCTTGTCGATTTCAATGGAGAAAGCCTGGCCTCCACAATAATCAACTGCGTCGATGAGGGTCACGTCGAATTTGTCCGGGTGCTCAGACAGGTGATGGGCACACGACATTCCTGGCTCGCATCAGCAACGATCAATCTCACATCTGACACTCATACCTGCGGCTCCAGCTCCGACAACGAGCACCCTCTTCTTCTTTCCGTCCTTGTTGTTGCCGCCCGCCATGTTTGTTGTAGGCAAAATGGGGTCTGTATCGCGTGAGCCTGGCATCGCAAAAAGAAAGAATTGGGGTCTCTTACCACACGCACCTGGGCACCGAGAGATGGTAGTATTGTACTTGTCAGCCGCTGGCATGACATGAGGGCCGAACAAATGCGTCATGAAATTCCAAAAGCAGTTTAGACTGATCTGATGGTTCGTATATGCGGCATGCGGATCGCTGGCTGCGGCCTCGCTAATCGCCGTGGCCGTGCTAAAACGCGATGTCGTCACCGAATCCTGCGAACCCAACTAGGAATGTCGAGCGCACATCGAAAATGATTATATTCCTACACATGTCTGATAGCTCGAGCACCACTTTCTATATGTTGTGCATGCCCTTGAGCGTCTTGGCAGTCCAGTCGTCCATGCCCTCGTTCGCCGTCTCGGCCGCCGGTTCAGAGCCTGATGCAGAACCGGCCATGGGAAATGGGACGGAATTCGTCACATGACCGAGATCGAAGAAATCTAGTCCCAAGTCGGCCGTTGCATTGGTGAACCAATCTTCACCCAGATCTGCCAACTGCATCACGTGCTCCATGCCTGTTTCACTCGCCGCGGGCGCGACAGGCTCGAGCGATGGATCATGAGGTGTGCCTGTCGGTGTTGGTGATTTCTTCTCTTCAGCCACCCCTGTTATGTTGGCGAACTGGAGTGCAATTCGGCTAAGTGTCCTGTATGTAGGTGCAAGAGTCTGCATGTTTTGGACCTCGTTGAGCACAGCCCGAACCGTCCCCTTGCGCTCCGCATCCCTAGCCGACTCCTGTTGGTCCTTTGGTCTCGCGAGAAAGTCGGCGCATACAATCAGTATCGAGTGAAAAACATAGAAAAAATCTAGCCACGAGTATCCGGCAATCCCCAGCTCCATCCCGGCCGTAATGCATTGCAGACTTTTGTGTACCGACTCGACACAATCTTCCGCCAGCATAAGAGTCGTTCGCCAGTCGTCGGAATGTGAATAAACTGTGCCTTCCAAAAAGCATATGTTGTTTTCAATCTTTTGGATCAGAAAATCTCGAGTAATGATGCAGCGCGTGTAGTAGTAGTAGATGTGCAGCAGCAATACCATGGATTTGTGCTCGGCGGTCAATGGGTAGTAATCCAGTGACAGGTTCGGAGGAATACTCGCCAGAAAGTTGTCCAGTTCTCGCAGCAGAGCCTTGGCAACCGCAGGCGTCGGCGAGCGCTCTTCGGCTGAAGTTTGATCGAAATAAGCGCGTTGCCGGATGCTGTACGAGAGGCGGACAAGGTCGAAACAAAGACTCATGGAGCTTGTGGATAGACTCGGCTGCCCAAGTGCCGGAGGCTCGGGAATTTGCATGGCCATCTCACGATCGTCGATTGCAGTTGGTCGTCCGAGAATGCTGCATAGCGTCTTCTCAAATATGTAGATGGTCCACCACACCTGGCGGCGCGTATTCCGCTCGACAAACTCGAATTCTTGGTTTGAATCATCTCGATGCATTCCCATGGTAGTTGCCTGCACAGTGCAGTCAGTAAACGAACCTTTGCACATGTGGCAGAGAACGTCCACGATACCGAGACGCTCTTCAGGATCGCCGCCGCCAGGAACATCCCCATGCCCGCCAGTGATGACTTCACGCCTGCCGATATCTTCAGCGGCGGCGGCGGCGGCAGTGGAAGCGTCAGTGGAAGCGACCAGCGGGCCTCCTCTTCCTCGCAGAAGCAGCAGCAGCAGCAGCAACAGTTACAGTTACAGCCACAGGCTCAACAGAAACCACAGCAGTATCCCCAGCGACAGGTGCTTCAACCGCCATTTCATCCATCTGGCTACGCCCAGCAAGCCCTGCCCAGCCCACACACTACCGTAAACGAGGCGACGCATTCCTCTGGCAGTGATTCTCCACCAAACAGATCCAAGCAGCACCGCCGTAATACTTTCTCCGAGTCCCAGCAGCCGCCATCTCAGTCAGAAGATCTCTTGCGTCCCAATCGACGAACATCCCATTACTTTGGGCCCTCGAGCAGTTTCCGCCTTGCCAAAACAATACGCACCCTCGCCGCCAGATGGATAGCCCTCACTGGCGCCAGTGCGCATTCATTCATCTCTGATCCTTCAAGTGCCTCTGGCTCCATGCTAAAACGTAGTAGCACAGACCCCTCCAACGAAGACCTAACCATGCATGAGTCGAGTCAGATTCTACACAGAAGCCGCAAGAGATCCAGGTCGCAGCTAGAAGATTCTGGTGACGAGTCCCAGTCTCGCGAGCAGAGTGTGGATGGAGACACGACTGCTAAATTCTTACCTCCGAGAAATGTGGCCGACGCACTGGTAACCGCATATTTCGATCGTGTTCACATGTACATGCCCTTGTTCAAAAAAAGTGTCTTCGACATGCGCCTCGAGGCAACATATACACGAAGGACCGAGTTGGTGGCAGAATGCAAGGACTCGGGCTGGCTAGTCGTACTGGCTTTGATCTTCTCCTTTGGGTGTGAGCAGCTCGAGCCTGAGTGCAAGCAACTCCGGGAACTAAGAGTCAAGTATCTTGAATTTTCCAGGACCCATTTTCGACAGCTTTTGTCGACGGCGTGCTTGGATAACGTCCAGGCGCTTGTCTTGCTCAATCTGCATCATCACAGCGTTGGACAGAAGAGCAGTTCGTGGCTGCTCATAGGCTTGGCTGCGCGCATGGTCCGTCATTTGGGAAACAGCCCCTTGACCAGGGCGTCGAGAGCGCGGTAGCGCAGGCTCAGCGTCTCGACGCTCCCATAGACCCTCTGCTTGCGAGGCAACTTGGACTCGCACGGCACGCCGCTGGCCTTGCAGTCGGCGCACGGCACGTCAGCATTGTCGCGTATGCAACGCGCGCGGCGGATCTTGCAGCGGTCGCAGCTCACCAGTGCGCGTTTGCGAGACGAGGCGGGCTTGGCTGAGCGTTCCGTCATGGGCGCAGTGGGTGGCGTGAGGAGGGCGAGAGAAGAGCAGCCAAGAGGGCGTCGCGAGGAATGGTGGCATCCGTGGTGGCCTCGGTGGTGGGGGGGGGGAGTGAAGGGCCAGCTCGCCGGGGCAACACCACGGCTTGACGCCATCGTCGAGCGCTCAGGGTGCGATTTGGATGCCAGACAGGGCAGGAGAGTTTGTCGTAACCTCGGTAGGCGGCGGGCGGAGCGTCTTCCGCGAAAAAGCATACGCGCGCCCGCGAGCGTGCACAAGCGGCGCATCAGAGGCCCAGCGGACTGGTGAATGTCTCCGCCCTCGAGCCTTGGCACGCCCCAGCCCCAGCCCCCGTCCCCCGTCCCCCGTCCCCGTCCCCTTCGCCTACCCTCCCCCTCCCAATACTCCCAATACCGTATTACTGAACCACCCTTTCGGCCCCGCACAACCACCGTCCGTCCCGACACGTCCCGCCCGGCGGCCACGTCTGCTCTGCCGACATGTACACATACACACGCCCGCCGTCTGCTGGCACCCTCACCGCCGCGGCCCCCAGCCACCACCAGCCAGCACAGAGCGCGTCTCAACATGGCCCTGCCCGGTCCACACGCTCCCCATTCGCCGCGTCGACAGCAAGGAGAAGCAAAACGAGCCTAGACTTTCCATGCCATTGTCCCCCGAACCTTAACCACCCTATATCTACTCCAGATATACCGGGATGCCGTACACGACTCCCGCCGCCCCGTTGAGATATCTCAGTACACATGCTTTCCGTGCGCCCTGGACGGCCCCGTCCAGACCAACCCTCCCTGGCCTGTCGTCTGCTTCCATGCCGGTCCCATCGTCGACCCCCTTTGCAGTCTTCTTTCCCTTCCGGGCACTTCCCACCCCCGTCCCCGCCACGTCGTCTGCCACTTGTGCCGCTCGGCCTTTGCCCTTTGCCTTCTTCCCGGCTGTCTTTGCTGGCGTCTTTGGAGCAAGACCGCCGTCTTCCGCCAGCTTGGGCCACAGCCCCCACAGCTCGCCAGTCTTGACGGCGAAGCGATCGCAATCTTTGTCCGTCACATCCCAGAGCATGCCCAGCACTGCGGGTGCACCCGCAGTGAGATACGAAGCAAGCATGCCCGAAGGCTCAAAAATGCCGTTTTCAGTAAGGTGAGCAGACGAACAGCCAAACAGGAGCGTCGTCGCGCACCCAGCCTTCCTGTTTTCCTCGTCTTGCTGGCCGGGGTAAAGGCGCCGCACTGCCTTGGATTTGACATACTGTGCTCCGCTGCCGTGCCCAAAGTACAGAACCACGTCCTTTTCTCGTAGCGACTCTTCAAATTCTTTTTCCGACGGCGCGCGATTGGCAATGGTTTTCCATGAACCCTCGAGCTGCTCTAGACGCGGAGCCATGGTTTTCGATGTGTGAGCCAAGTCCCCCGATGGGTTGAGCAGGCTTGTACCCCTTCTGCTTGAGCAGATGTAATGACCAGGCGGGGCGTCCTCCCATTTCGCTGCGCATGGCCGGGCCGAGAGCAACCTTTCGCGAAGCGCGGCAAGTGACGGCAGCCTGGAAATGGACAGTTGCTCTAGACACGGCAGCGACTCCCACGGGAAACAATGCAGGTTTTTATCCAAAATGAGTATCGTGTGGCGAGAGGCAGCCTCGAGCTTGTGAGACGCGCTGTGGTAGGCGCGTAGTGCTTCGTACGTCTCCACCACCATGCTATCAAAATCCAGTTCGTCGTAAGCATTGCGCTCCCCGTTGAACTGCAGAATGTCAACCACAAAGTAAATCAGATCCATCAGTGCTTCATCCAAGTCGACCTCTTCATTGGTAGCATCGCCAAGTCCAATGAAAAGTTCCAAAACTCGCGTATCCAACACTGGCCGCTTTTGCTGACTCTTCTTTTTGCGCGACGGCAGGTGCTCGTTCAGAATGTCCTCTAGCGATTTGCGGAATTGAGCGAGAAGGGCCGGTTGCCGCTCGTATTGGGAGAAAACTCCCCGGAACCCGCCCAGCCAGATGTTTTCCATGTTGATGAGTAGTTCGTGAAGTCGCGCGTCGAGAGCCTCACGCTCAGCCCACCACTGTTGTCGAGCTTCCCTAGTAGTCATGTCCTTGGCGCTTCGAGTGCTGAAGTCGCTGAGCTCAATGATTTCGTCAAAGTCTCTCTTTCCATCATCAAACGAGAATTCGTCCTCGTCCATGTCGCGAGAGGCGTGGCGCGCCAAGGGTAGGCGCAGCACAAATGGTGACAAGCCGCTCTCGAAACGAGTAATGAACAACTCATCACGGGCCTCACTAAGAGCCAGCGATACCGCAGTCCAGCTCTGTGGGATGATGTCGACGTAGTTTTTCTGAAACTCCGAAATCGAGGCAAACGAGAATGATGAGCCATCGGTGACTGGCCATTGCAGACATTCATCGCGGGAAAACTGCTCTTTTTCCGCCTCCGTCGACTCTTGCATGAGCCTCAATGCGTTGAACTTGGGCAATTCACTCATGTAGGCTGCATACAGTGGATGAAGTGAGCCCGGCAGGTCGCTTCCAGAGACGGCTGACATGAGTACAGTCACGTGGCCGAGCGCCATCGACGTTTGGCGAAACAGGTGGTTGGAGCCATTGCTAGCACACAGGGCATGTGCTTCTACAAGTCTCTCTCGTGCTTCACGAAGTGTATCCATGAAGTCTTCCTTTGGCTGCTTTTTTGCCCGGCCAGGTTTGGTAGTAGCAGGAGCCACGAGAGTGCCCTTCTGCGGAGGTGCCACTTCCGAGAACCTTCGATCTGTGAGACCAAAAGCCGGGAACGCAATGGTTGACTCTGGCAGCGTGTTTACCGTAAAGTCCTCTGCGATTTGCCTTGCGCTTTGTGCCAGCTTAGCCTTGAAAGTAGCCCACATATGTGATACTTCCTGGTTTAAGCCGCTCTGCAACTCTTCTGCTTGTCCAAGTAGTTTCAGGGCCTGGGCAAGATCGTCGTGCATGATATTTGCGAGCACAGCTCGGTCCCTCATGCTAGCTTGGAAGATGCTCAATGCGGCACATTGATCGGCAGTGTTGGGTTCCTCCGAGGCCGCCGGCGCTCCGAGTTGGCGAGTAGATCGCGATGCAGTTTTCGCAACCCCTCCCGTAGCTGCTCTAGACCGAGTGCCAGCCACAGATTTAGCAGTTCCTCGTGCTGCTGCCTTTGTTGCCGGCTTACGGCCTCTCGTTGCCGGTTTTGTCTTGACTGCTTCAGTGGCTTGCACAGTCAACGACGATAGCTGCTCTGTAAGAGACTCAACCGTAGACAAAAAAGATTCCAGCGTCTTGATATATGTGGGCGAACTCAAATCCTTGAGAAGTAGTTCCATGAGAGTGTACGATGCAATCTCCTGCTCATATTCGCCCTTCCAGTGATGCGTTCTGGCAACGGCGGAATAGTAGCCTGCAGTGGATAGGCACTTGCGAGAGGACGGGGCATCTAGCGATTTGAGAATTGCGTCGGCTTTATCGGGTCTGTCGCTCTGGGCCCAGCAGTCTGCGCGCCAGCTGGCGTTATCGGTCTTGAGTGTCGCTGACTGTGTTGCACAAGCAACCTTTTCGGCCTGTTCGGCGACATAAATTGCCTCATTCAGCAGTCCTTGATGCGCGAAGATTTGGGATTGTTGCATCAAAGCCCGGTACAGTGACGGTACCAACGCCCAAAAGTCAGGCCCGCTGAGAGCGTCATGTGTTAGAGACATGACGACAGGTACTCCCTTCTCCATGCGCAAAGAACTCAACGGGTCAAACGCTGCTCGGCTCGACCCATCAACTTCAGATTCAGCGTCTTCCACAGGTGTGGTCTTCTTCGCGTTCGACCGCGACTCGAGCGCAGCCCAGATACGACGGTTTAGCGTGACGCACTGTCTGGCATGACGAGCCGCTTCCTTGTATGACCCAGCAGCGGTAGCGAGTAGCGACTGGACATAGGAAGCATCGGCTACTATCCTGTTGAACCGTAGTCTGCCAGAGAGCGTCGTTGTGGGCTTTGCTAGGTCCATGAACTGGCGATCTCCCAGCGCGATGGATTGGGCATTTGCCATTATGGATGATCTGAGATATATATCAGTATACGACATACTAAGATTGGGCCTTCATGCTTACGACTTCGTTGTGTTCCCAATTCCGAGGAGATATTCAGCATACGCCACGTGCCACTGCAGCTTGGCTTCGACAGAACAAGTTCGACATCCGATGAGCGCTTCACCCTTGGCTAGGCAAAGGCCTGCTTTTCCTGTGTAACCAAGACGCAGCAATTGCAGGGCCAAAGCGCACAGCGTGGTGAGAAGCTGAGATGCATCGCAACTCTTTTGAAGCTCGAGGATCTTGACTAGCAAATGAAGGAGCGGCAAGGCAAGGTACTCTTCACCCTTTGCATTGAGAAACTCAAGACACGCTTGAAGATCTTGCAGCCAAACATCTACATGATCGATGCGTCCATTCAGTACTTCCCAAGAAGATGCGGAATTCACCAGAGACTCCCACATAGCAAAACACTGTTGAAGAGTTGATGTTGGAGGAGAAGGCTGCTGCATCGATGACTTGAGGTCGCGCAGTGCTTGTAAGTGAGCTCGATATCCCTTCAAGGCTTCGTCTTGAGTGCCCTCTACTGCTATCTCATCGTCGGAAGCTGAGTCGGAAGATTGTGCGTTCTGAGATATGATCTGAGGGTCATGTTGCCAAAGCTGGAGAAGTGCAATAGATAACCTTAGCCGGCGAACTGGGTAGGTATCTGGCGCGTACAACTGATCAAGTCGTTCGACCAGGTTGCAAATGGACTTGTCCAAATTCGAGTCCCAGCGTCGGTTTTTTGACAATGTCCGTAGGTAGAATCGCAACTGTAACTCCAAAATGGCTCCCTCAGCATCTGATTGGATCGCCTCATTGTCAAAGAATGCAATTTCGTCTGGTTGCTGAATGCCAAACTTGACAAACGAATGGTGGTATGCTTTCAGAACCCTGATAAGGACACTGAATGGCCCATCATCATTGAAGATGGCACAGAGAGGCGATTTTGCTGCAGCGTCAGATAGCTGCCCCAAGACAGAATCAGTAAGGTGGCTCTGTATGCATTGTCGAAAAGCGTTGCGAGAGTTTTCCGTCTGACCCAAATCCTCCAAAGCCTCGCCTAGTTGCTCAAGCTTCATTGGAAGAAGGGCACTCGCCTGCTCAGTCGCGTCTCTTGATTGTACAAGGTCGATGGAGCGCTGCATGGCCAAAACGAGGGTAGCAAGGTTGCAGCGAGCTCTCCGTAATTGTAGGTATAGAGCCCAATATCCGTTAGACAATTTGACCATATACGAAGCAATGAGGGAGTCGCTGTCCTCAGCCAAAAGAGTCTCTTCTCTGACTTCTTCCTCGAAACGCCGTAGGATATGCGCACACTCTTGTAGAAGTGCATCCAGCTCTTTCCACTCATCTTCAGTCTTGATAGCCTGTTTACAACATGCCATGACCGAGTCGAGAGTACCCTTCGTATACTTCCAGGCAAGGGCTATCCGTTCGTGATGTTGGCTTTGGATTTTCGTGTCAGCTGCATTTGGTCGTGCAGTACCCACAAACCTTGCTGAGAAGCGCACACTCGCCGCAATAATAGGCACAGCACGTCGCTCGATAGGTGACTTTTCAGCATCGCTTACTGGCTTGGACAAGCTCGCAATAAGCAGTTTTGTTGCTGCACGTCTCAAGGCATTCACTTCTGCAAAGAGCGTCTCAAGTTCCATTGCTGATCCACCCAAGCTGCCGTTTAATGTTTCGAGAGCATTGGTGATTGTGGTCTCCAGATCACTTTTTTTCTCGCCCTTAATGTACGCCTCTAGGGTGATGGTGGCTATTCGTACCGCTCTCGCTGTTTGCTTTGCGGCCGAGGTTTTGGAGGCGGAGGGGGTACTTGAGGAGCCCAACCACCGAAGAGCCAGGTCCGACAAACCCGCAGCTTGCGCAAGTGATGAGAGGGCCTTGCTTGCAGTAGCGGAGGCAGGAGCGCCATTTGGCGATGTAGTGGCACCGTCCGGCCATCCAACAAGGTCAGTGTACAAAGTCTCGGCTAACTTGTACTTTTTACTTGGTGTAAGTTGTGATCTGCGAGCAAAAGCGACCAGACATTTGGCGAATGGTTCCGACAGTTCCTGTTCCTCATTGCCTTGATGTTTGACCAGGTCCCACCACTGCTTTCTCACACTGAAGGCCAGATGTTGCAGAAGTAGTACCTTCTCCGCAGATGGTTGGAGAGTATTCGCATCTTCTGCGCTCGAGATACTTGGGCATAGCGAGAGAATTGTCTGCGCTAACGACTCCAGCTGTCTTGCTGCCTTGGCTTGGCTGGCCGGCGACTTCGCAGTATGCCAAAGGAGATTTGCGGGTGATGAAGGGCTTGTCATTTTCAGAAATTCCCAGGTGGCTTCCACGGTGCGTGGTCGTTTGAGCTTTGCGATGATGCGCAATGTGTATGTTTGAAAGCTTGCAACCAGTGGTACAGCAGGGCTGTTCGGGTCTATGGCTGCAAAGTCCAGCAGCGATGCCAGGTTTTCTTTATCCATAGCCCCAGCAGATTGTGCACCATTTTTTGGCGCTTCCAATCCAGCGTCGCGGCTAATGTGCTTGTCCAGCCTCCTTTTCAAAGACCTCAACTCCTTGGCGGCCATGCTGTCTAAGCCATGTGCGACAAGCTTTCCAATAAGCACAAGCACACCATTCTCATACTGGAGGTCCTGAGAGTCCTTTCCCAAGACCTTTGTCGCCTCCGGCGTACCCAGGTATGCGAATGCTGCCCTTGCGCACTCGGCCGTAGCGACTAGGCCGGGATCAGGGCCTGTGGAGAGGAACGACGAGTATGACGACGATCGGCGCGGGGCACGTTTCTGAGGCGAATTGTGAACCTGAGAGGCGGATCGCTCACGCAGAGGCTTTTGGGGGATCGAGGAGCTCTTTGCAGCGCCGGCCCGGGCTCGTGCTGGCTTGCGTGCCTCTTCGGCGGGTGTTGGTTTCGGTTTCGAAGGGAGTCGGGGAGCGAGGATGGGCATTGGGTTCTTCAGCGCCTCGGCAAGTGTCTGCAGTGTCTTGTTTGCGACTTCAGTAGCCAGTATGTATTTCTCTCTCGGTGCCATTGTCTGTGTCTTCTGCTTTTCGCCCTCTGCAGCCGCTGTTGTCCCCGCCCTCCTCCGCGCAGTCGTCTGGGCCTTGCCCCTGACGTTTTCCTTCTGTACGGCTTCCTCTTCTTTTCTTAGGAGCAACTCCTGGAGCGCGCTGACGGTAGCGTTGGTGCATGTCGATGTCGATTGGAGGTCGGCCTTGATGCTGTCGATGCGCGCGCGCGTCTCGTCTTTTGGCGCCATTTTCTTCGGATATAGGTGGTGTTCTCGTATGCGCAGTTGTTCATAAGATCCTTAGATTATACATTATTAAGAAGACAGGTGCGCGGGTGGGTGTGTTATGGTACAGGGTGGTTGGTGTTGGGATGCAAGGCGGCGCCCAAACAGTCAAACAACACGGTACCGCATTCGGTTAGCGCGTACCCCGGCCCACGATCGTCTTCGTCGGGCTGTGGCGGTGCATCTGTTTGACATATTGAACTTCCTATCGTGTAAAAGACTTAATAAGCATATTGTTTGGAGTTGTTGGTGTTTCATTGAAGAAGACGCGTCTAGAGATGTATATTTCTAGTATTCCAGGCGGAGCTGAGGATTTCGATTTTCTCATCCCTTAAATAACTTTTGCGCTCGAAATTATACTCCGTGTTTGAAACAATTGTTGATGTTAGAACTACCGATAACTTAGACACGGAACAGGAAAGTGATGGCTCAATAGTAGCAGCAGGTAGTATTGTATTCCGAGACGAATCCTTAGCCTCTCCTTTGTGTAGACTTGAGGCTTATATACTGTAAGCTAGCTAGGGGGCCCTTGACTAAGCCTCCTCCCACGGCTAGGAACGTGGTTCCTAACAGTTGATACTAATCAACAGACCTAGTTGCGTTGACTATGCTCTGATCTGCTAAGTAATAGAGGCGTGTGGTACTACTTGGAGGATTGTTACTTGTCTAGTCTTTTCTCCGCCAGCACATATTGCATAATATTTGGTTAGGTTAGTTTGTTTATACTAAACACATGTGTAGACTTTTCTGCTATGTAATAGATACGTAAACCCCTTTGATACGCGGCACAATAAGTGCACTATACGTAGAACCCTGCATATAATTAACTTTGACTAAACTTACATGATCTCTAACTGTAAGAAGGAATGAAGTCTCTCTCCGTGTGAGAAAACCCCTGGTGGACTAGAATGAACGAACGAGAGCGCTATTTGTGCAACATTCTAACATGACAGTGTTTTTGATTGGCTAGTTCCGGCCTACTAGGCTTTCCACTATACAGGGGAAAAAGCTAATAATAACAATCTTAGCAATGAACTAGTAGTCATGAACTATTGTTAAGCAGATGTGTGACGTATTTTATTCATGAGATCCGCCTCTTCTACATCGATATCGGATGTTTATTGTATTTGTTGTGATTAAGACACGTGATCACGGCTACTATAGGCTGCCGGTGCTCTAACCGGTCTCCAGTGGCTTGCCGGGCCGTGACTAAACACTCTGGCGTTTGGATATCGTAATATACGTCTATGTACAGCAGTTATAATCACACCATTTACAGACTTCTTGGCCCTGCGCATTCGTCACACAGTCATCCTAAAGGATATTAGTTAAGTAGATATCCAGCTAAGTAACGTGCGGGATCAGTAAGCTGGCCGGAACAGTAAGCTGGCCGCCCCACTAAACTTGACGCGACATTTTGCACAATTAAGCCACAACAATAAGAGATAATATGTTTATATTTTACTATAAGGTATTCTATTATAGTCTACATTAAGTCCTTTTATGACCTTAGGTGTGGCACTTCGTGCACGTTGGCGGCGCGCGCTGGCGTCTCTCACCCGCCTGGCTCTGGCTAGCCTCTATGACCACCCTTTCTACCTCTATAGTAAGCTACTAAGCCTACTGCACCTAGAGGACTCCACTAGAAGCTATATATTAACGTTGCTAACTCTGCTTCTATTATTAACGTTAATTTTCTACACGTAGCTTCTTATTCTTATCTATAACGTATTCCATCACCGAGCGGGCCACATCACCGAGTGTGCCACTTTTTCTTGGCATCACGAACTTCATGTACGAAAACTTAGATTACTCTACACTAGCTATAGATGCTTCGTACGACTTACTTGTATCTGAAAGAGAATCTTCTTCTACATCTTTCTGGCACGTACGAGAGTTATGGCCTGTCCTCCCACAGGTTCTACAGTGCCGTTGACCTAGTAGGGCCCTTTCTTGACTACCCTCACCACGTGCCTTCTTTGATGTCGTACGACCAGCAGAACTACTTTCAGCTACCTGCGATGCCCCTGCACCAAAGTCTAGTGTCCCACCTGTCTGAATTCGCTTTCTTTTGCGCCCTCGGCGCTTTGTTACTGCTGCTAATTGCTCTTTAAGCTCTCTTACGCGGGCCTTTATAAGCACATTCTCATGTAGCATCTCCTCAGCCCCTTTAATAAGCTTTAAAAAGCCTTCTTGTGCAGTAGTTGGCGATCGTACGAAAGACTC